TTATTATCTACTTCCCCAGAGTCAGATGAACTAGTGGATACCATTTGTATGCCTCTGTGTCCAGTATGAAGGAAGTTAGAGGTAGTTTTGCGAGCCAATGCTAACTAGCGTTAGCGCGATGACTGAAAGTGTGGGTATCTGCTAGCAAATGGTATCCACAAGTTCATCCGACTCTGGGGAAGTAGATAAAGGGCCTCATTGCCAAAATCCCGAAGTATCCCTTTAAGGTGGACAAGTGTCAGTAAATAACACAATTCGCAAAATATAATACAATTACTCTGCTCAGAATTGGATCAGAGGCCAACATTGGAATAATATTCAAATAAATAAAAAAGCCCACATGTCAATGTGTAGGTGATATATTGACTACAGCCTCATGTCCAAACTGATGCTGACATGAGGGAGGGGCAGAAAATGTTGCCAAACTTTAATGAGACTTTTAATTACATAAATATAGGCTAAAATGCCAGTCATGTTTGACAAATAGAATGAATGATAATTAACGTCTAAGGGTTTGATTCTGTCGTCGTACTCGAGGCACGGTTCATTCAGATCAAATGGTCACAAGATCAGAGAGTGAATGACAGTGCCTGTTGCTCACCGCACATCGGCCACCTTAAATCTGAGCGGAGGCGGTCAGCATTTGGAAACTATTTAAACATAAAGTAAATTGTTTAAAATCGGGACGTTTTATGTCAAGTAGCCTAGCCAAAATACAACCATGGAAATGTTGAGGAAATGCTTTTATAAACATTTCATGCTATTGAAACCAGCATTTCTCTCATGTTCTATTTTTCAAATCAACTTTATTTTATTGTCCAGCAACCAAAGGCACAATCCTAGTCATATTAGTAACCCATGCTAGTTGATGCATCATTATATCTCCTCTTTTTCTTAATTTCTAACTGATATTTTCAGCTCTGTCATATGAAACTGCTCGCTCGTATGGTGCGCTTTTGAGAACAGTGTTTTCCGCTAATTGCATTTTGGAACCTTAACGACTAGCCTACGGCCATGTACGCATTGCTGAGCTTATAATATGAAGAAAACAACTTTATCAACATTTTAAGCTAAACTGTCTGATCTGTTGCATCAGCCTCATTGCTTTAGAATTGTTTTTAATGTGCCGTGGTTGTATGAATTTTTTAAACTGTCCTAGACATCTTTTTTTATCGTCCCAGGGACGTCGGGACGACCTTAATTTCGAGCTATTTTTTTAATACATACATTTTGGGTTGTAATTGGAATGTTGCCATATTTTATAGGTTACCAAGGGTGGCCAACCATACTCCGGAAGAGCCTTAAAGGGGAAGTGTTGTATTTTGAGACAGGCTTGAATATTCAAAGAAGCCAATGGGCAGAGTGCAGCCTCCATTTTTGTCTGATTCTCTATGGTTCCTTGCATCATGCGATGAAGGCCATTTTTGGGGGAAGGAGTGACTTGAGCTATTGGACAAGTAAAGAATCAGTGAATCACTAAAGCCCCGTTTCCATTGGAACTTTGAAGTCAACCCAGGTTGGGCTGGCCTTTGTGGGCTAGCTAAAATTGCGTTTCCACTGCCTCCAGAAATTTAGAAATTGTCATGTTGCTAGGTAGCCAATATGTACTGCAGCTGCCATCGCTAATTATGCTAGCTAGTTAGCAAGATGTTGAAGAATTCATCCTCAGCATGCTGTAACTAAAGCTTTCAATATGACCTGGCCAGCTAAACTTCCTGCTAGCTCACGTTAGCTAGCTAGCTTGTTTCAACTCTGATTTGTTAGGTAGCTAGCGTTTGATGGCTGACTGTTCTCAAAAGTTTGTGTAGTACAAAAAATGAATGACGGATCCAGTTATGGTGGTAGTTTGTGTCATGTCTGACTAATGCAGTACTGCTTGTCTATGTGCTAGCTAACAGCAACAAGCCCAGACGAGCTAGCTAAACGTTGTCAGCATCCAGCAGTGATAAGTTTGGTGATTGCATAGTAAAGGCATCACCAGCCTGAATTCTAATCGATCTGGCACCAGTTGTGAAACTGGGCTGCGCTAGCCCAGGTTTCCCTCGACCCAGCTCGAATTAGAGAATTCCATTCAAGCCAGCTCGAATTTGGCCCTAATTTTAAGTGGCAGTGGAAACGGGGCTTAAGTGGCAAAAAAAATGTAAAGCCCTGCTGTTTCGTTGAAGACTGAGATATTGCTGCAGCTTTGTTTGTTTGTCGTGTTAGTTTTGACGACCTATTGATCTGCTCTGTAAAGGCCAATGGCTAAAGATGCACATCTATTCCAGTAATATTGGGAGTGGAGGAATATTGAACCTTGAGGGCCATTGTCTGTCATTGAGGTTTTCTCTCCAGATCCACACTGATATGGGCTAATGCAGGGATCATCAACTAGACTCAGCCGCGGCCTATTTTTTTTTTCTTGCGCGGATGGTGGGGGGCCGGAAGGTAGACTGTAAATTGACCACAAGAAGTCCAAACGGATATAATGTTTGAATAAAACATAATCATTTCAAGCCTTGCTTATATTTGTATACGATCACCGTGTCTCTCTATCATGCGTGGGAATACTTAGGAACAGATTTCTTAAATCAAAATCACTTGGAGCTGATTTCCTGGTGTTTTTACAGTTGATTATGTCCAGCAATGAAAATAAACAACTTATTATAATTTTTTGCTCAGAAAACATGGGGGGCCAAATAAAACCACCCGCGGGCCAAATTCGGCCCGTGGGCCTCCAGTTGGGGAACCCTGGGCTAATGTAATGCTAGAGAGCTGTAACATAGTCCTCTTCTATAGTCCACTTTATGTTCCTGATTGAGTTTCCACTCACTGATAACCTGCCTTTGTTTTGTGTTCATATCCGGCTGAGTTTTTCTCCTGCAGATTCTCTTGCTCTGTATATGAGCTTTCCTGTAATATGCACTCCCACTCCCAGTCATCCCACTCAGTAGAAAACAGTATAAAACAAAGCATGGCAGTGAACACAGTGTACTGTCAGAGCACAGTCAGGGTCACTTCTTGTAAGGAGAGCCATCGTCACCAGCACTCCCCTATTGTCACCTACTGTCTCAATGCAGACAAGTAGGGAGAGGCAGAGGTGCTGTGAGAAGTAGGGCTTATGGTTCCTTTCTGTCGCCTTAACATTATTGTTTGGATGTGACATCATAAAGGCACTGAGAGGACAGGTTTTGTGTTGACTTTGTTATCCAACAGTCTGAAAGGGAATCTTTTACTGTCTCCTTTCCTGTATTCTTCCCTTCACAATCTCTGATCTAACAAGATAGAGCATCACCGAATCAGCAGTTGAAAATTCCAACAAGTCCTTCCACCTATCAGTGGCGGTCATGAAGGACAGGAGTCAGGACTATTTCAGACTATTGGCTTGATCAGCAGCCAGAGTGCTATCACATGACGACCCCTCTGTCAGCAGTCTCACAATGCTCCTTGACACACACACAAACACACACACATTTTCACATACTGGGGACGAGAAAAGGGCTGCTACCAGGGCTCGGAGAGATGTTGATCACGTCCTCTCCACTTCCTTCCTCCCTCCCTCTCTCCATCCCCCCTCCTCTTTTCCCGCCTGCCGGCCTAGTGCCTTGGCTGCCGTGATAGGCTTAATATAGGGAGGCCCCTATAGCAATAGGTTACAACTTTGAATGGAGCCATTTTGGCCATGCTGAGGGGGGCTCTCTGATGTGCCTTATGGAGGTCTAGGCCTCAATGTTTTTGAGTCATTTGCCCAGTCTGAAACCAACACCTTACCCTTACACTAAAGTTTTCCTCATCTGATCCTTTAAAATCCGTGAGGGATGTCTTTATAGGGTGGGCACTCGAATGCTGGGAACTGGGCGTTTCAAGTGTGCCACAGTGTAACAGATGCCCAAGTGGACTGCAGCCTGGCTGACCGTTGATGAGAGGTGGTGGGGGGCAGGGGCAGGCTGGAGGCTGAATAGCTGGCTTGTTCTGTAGTTTTAAATCCTCTGGATCTCTCTAGAACATGCATTCCTATGGATGACAAACAAAGCACAGAGAACCACCTGCCCTAGACTGCTCAGCAGCTCGTTATTCCAAAAGCATTTTAATTTCATTAGACATTTCATCATGTTATTCTAGACAGCGTGAACTGACTTTCTCTCTCTGTCTCTCTCTGTCTCTCTCTGTCTCTCTCTGTCTCTCTCTGTCTCTCTCTGTCTCTCTCTCTCTCTCTCTCTCTCTCTCTCTCTCTCTCTCTCTCTCTCTCTCTCTCTCTCTCTCTCTCTCTCTCTCTCTGTCTCTCTGTCTCTCTGTCTCTCTGTCTCTCTCTGTCTCTCTGTCTCTCTGTCTCTCTGTCTCTGTCTCTGTGTCTCTTTGTGTGTGCGCGTGCCTCCAGCTGCAACTGCGCAGGCGCAGGCAGAGGAGCGGCGCAGCTTAGCAGGGCACAGCCCAGGACCTGCATCCCCAGCAACAGTAAACACACCACCCAACACCGCAGCAGCTAAGTCTCCCCGGCCAGGTAACAAAACAGCCCCAGCCTGCTGCTTCTGCATAAACACACACAGTGTCACTTACAAACAAACAGGGGACATGCATATATTATGCATACGTATAGCCTAGGCCTACACAAACGTATACACACCCACCACCAGAACGACTCGTATGTTTCTCCCATAGCCTCTGCCAGAGTTCCAATGTGGAGTCTTAGCTAATGTTTTTAACCATATGGTAACCATGACGATGCCTCAGTAGTCATAAATTAGGCATACCTGTCATTAATTGCCGAGTAGCCACAGGCTTATATATTATATTCCTTATCTCATACAGGCTTTTGACTACACATCTCACTGTCTGTTACCTGGGTTATAATCCCCCTCGTCTAATGTGACACTTATCACTCACACGTCACACCGCCATGTCATTGTGGCTTAATGCCGCATAAACAGTGCTGACAACTGTTGCAGTAATAAGATGTCTCAAAGGGCATTAATGTCATTCATGATGAGCACATCTGCCTGTCAGTTGATTAACTCCCAGTGACCCTGCAGCACATCATAATCCACCACCGATTCACTACCCATGTCCACACTGTTTCCACTGCGTATGTGTGTGTTCACACTTATGTGCGTCTCTGTGTGCATGCAGTCATTGATGGTGCTGCACTAAGGATAGACGACCGGCTTCGAGTGGCAAAAGAGAGACGAGAGGAGGCCGATAGGCAGCAAGGTAAGAGCTCAGTCTGAATTGTGGGTCCATTTCTATGGGTTGGTCATAATCCATCAACATTCTACTAGCTATTAGCTAAGGTCTCAGGAGTCAGGCCTGTACACCATTTTCTTTAATGGGCCCAGTCTCTGACCGTTTCATTCCCTATCTACTCATTGGATTTGCAACATACACAAGTGCACACATTACAAGTCCTCAGAGGGCTTTCCTGTTGAGACAGAAAATGCCTTCTATATAGTGTAGTGGAGATTTAATGGGGTGATGATTTTGACCTCTGGGCTGGTCACAAAGTAAACAAACCCATGTGTTTTCCCTTGCTTTTTCTCTTTACACTGCACACACGCTTGCCACACCTAAACACACAAACACACACACACACACACCTATCCAGCTGCGAAGGACTCTCAGATCCTGGAGCGAGAGCGTAAGGCCAAGCTGCAGGTGGAGCGTCAGATGGAGGAGCGGCAGAAGAAGCTGGACGAGCAGCGCAGGAAGGAGGAGCAGAGACGGTCAGCTGTGGAGGAAAAAAGGAAGCAGAAACAGGAGGAAGAGAAGGTACGGGTCCCTGGGGTCCTCCTCAACACCAGGGCGGCGCTACAGATACAGCTCTTATTTTGTGGACTACTTTTGTAGCCAATGGCTTGGGAATGGTGTAAATGTGTGCACTAAACTGGATTATGCCGATATCCATAGTAAGCAAAAATTATCTATTTGAATTGGGACGGATGAATTGCAGTGACTAATCAGATGTGCACCTATCACGAGTTGACTACTTTCACTGCTCAGGTTCATGGTATTTTATGGTGTAGCCTAATTGACAGAGTTAATGCTATGTCTCGGTTAGTTCATGAGTGAACAACTTGAGGAAAGAATGCATACTTTGTTACAGTGTTATGAATGAAACCATATCCTGTTTGAGCTTTTCATGGATGTCTGCTGCAGGAAACTCATTCCCTCAGTGTTCTTATTCCAGCCAGATTGGCACTAGTGGCCTGTTGCTTTGCACCACTGCTAAGCAGACAAATGCAACTCTACCGCCCCAGAACAATGTAGTGTTGGTATTCAATATGAAAGACTGAATCATTTAAAACATATTACAGGGATATTAATTTGGCTTCATCTATCTAATAGCACATGATCTAACGTTGTCATCACCCCCTACCGTTTCACTATGATCATATTGTAGTGAACTGTTATTGTCAGACTGAAAATTGCATTTCTCTTCGAGTTACCGACTCACATCATTCTGGTACATAGGCTCATATTGTCATTTTTGTACCATTATCCGTTTTACCCTGTTTATTTGGGTTCCGGAGACCAAGAGTATTACTTTGTCATGTGAATGACTTTGCATTCCTCCACTCTCCCCTCTCTCTCTCGCTCTCTTGCTCTCTTCCCCTTTCCTCCTCTGTCTCTCTCCCCTTCTCTCTCTCTCTCTGTGTGTGTGCTGCAGGAGCATTATGAAGCGGTGATGCGGCGGACCCTGGAGCGCAGCCAGAGAGTGGAGCAGAGGCAGAAGAGGTGGTCCTGGGGAGGACTCTCAGAATCAGACAACCGATCAGGTAAGGAATCCTCCACCATTCCACTTTGCTCTCTATACCATATGGATAGGACTGCTAAGTGTATAGGACTCCAAGTATGTGTGTAAGGAGTTACGGTTTCCTGCTTGTCTGACAGCGGACTCTGAAAAACGCAGGTCGGTAAAACTTGCTGTCTCATCCTCACAGCGACTGGCTCGTTATTGGTTCGCTGTCAGCTGGAGTTATGTTGATAGGCCTCGGTATATGTTCTGTGTATGTCCATGGCTTGCTTACCGACGTTTCTCAACGTTTTCTATGTTTTTCTTTTGAAGTCTGAATGCCTTTTAGTTTAATGGAGCATACTCTTAATGTGCAGTGAGCGATGGCATAGCTGCCATACTGTATCTCAAAGGATGTTTTTCTTTCAGACACAGCATTTATTATTTAGAATCATATAGGGGCTGTTTCCTAGACACAGATTAAGCCTAGTCCTGGACATAAAGTATAATCAAAGATAATCTCCATTTGAAAGTGCTTTTTAGTCCAGGATTAGGTTTAATCTGTGTAAGGGAATCCGGCCCATACTTTATAAAACCAATGTTCATATTATAGGGCAAAAATATGTAGGTTATCAGGCCATTTGACACTTATGTGGACTGATCCCAAAGAGCCTCATCCGAGTCTTATCATGTGAGCTTGTTTCCTAGCATCTGTGTTGTGGGCTCTGACTGTCAGAGATGGAAATCTACTGATGGTTGTCAGCCAGCCCTGTTCCTCCTCCTCCCTCTCTCTCTGCATCTGTGGGCAGTATGTGTCTGCTCCTGTCTCCCCGCTGAGAGCCTCTCTGTCCCCCACAGAAGACCCTGACGCAGGCGCCTCCTCTCCAGTAGCTATAGTAATCTCCCCCGCGTCTCCAGAAAAGCCCCCCAGGACACAACAAGGTGCAGGTTGAACTGGTTGATACCTGTACTGTACCCACAGCAAAGCAGCACGGACTGGCACTGTTATGTTAACCACCAGCCTTTCTCTTACTCACTCACTGCCTCACTAATATCTTCCTGGTTCTCCCAGGGATGGGTTGATGTTGCTTGTATGCACAGGTCTAGGATCAGCTTACCCTCCCCCAATCCTAACATTAACCATTAGGGGGGGAAATGCAAGGCTGACCTTAGATCAGCATGTATGGGCAACTTCACTGTCACTTCTGTCCCAGAATCATGTGGACTTCTTTCACTCTCACTCACTTTCAAGCACTTCCAGGTCAGGTGTCACATCATGGAGGCACTGAGCTCTCTGAGCAGCACTGCTGTTGACTGTTTAATGCATGTGCCAACTAATGTTGACTTTCTCTTGACTGTTCACCTGTGCTATCTATTCATTGGATGTTTTCTGGATTTTCAACTCTTTTCACTAACTGCAGTGCCTGCCTATGAACTGGAATGGCTTTGGTCTGCTACTTGATGTTCTGTTATCAAAATGTATTATATCAATATTCAGTAGTGCCTTAGAGATCAATGTTTCTTTTAAACATGGACCCCACCGGTGTAGTATAGAATTGAGACTAAATGAGTGTTGAATGTTAAAGGCAGGTCATTAGGACCCTGCAGAACCCTGTCCTCCTCCCCCTCCCTCTGTCCTTTCCCCCTATCCCAGTCTCCCAGTGGTCAGCCTCCTGTATAACCCCCTCCTCTCTTCCTGTCTGTGTATCTCTCCCTCCTCCCCTTAGTTGACAAGCGCTCCACTTCCACCATGAACCTGAAACAGCTGGCTGAGGCTGGCATCAACAAGCGCCTGTCCTCCTCCTCCGCCACCCTCATCAACTCTCCCGACAAAAGTAAGTCCCCTTCCCTCCCTCCTGCATTCCATCCTACCCTCCACCCAGCCGCTGTCTCAGCCCACTGTCACTGTTATTGTCACTGCGTTGACCCTCTCCTTCCCGTGTCCAGGAGCTGAGTGACAAGCCAATCAGCGGAACATTAAGAGACTGGTAAACCAATGCCGTGGCTCGCTGTCTCTGACGTCAACCAATAATAAACCCAGCATGAACTTGTGATTCCATTGCATCCATTTACTGTTCACTTCCAATTTTGTAGTGCATTTTGTGACACAGGGAAGTGTCACAGAATCGTAAGGAGTTGCCCCAAAGCATCCATGATGTATTTGTGATCTCTTCTATCCTCTTCAGTTGTCTTTGTACTGTACCTCCCTTTCTAATGCTAATGCAATTCATCCTGGTTTGATTCACAGGGAATTGCATTGTTTCTGACCTCTCTGAGAAGCACAATCATTCTAGGTCTAACCGTTCTCTCTCCACAGCTTCCTTTTCCTCCACCATCGCCAAGATACTCACAATGTTGTTTGTCCTCTTTCTCTCACTCTCTGATATTGCTGATTTCACGCCTTCTCAACCTGTCTCTGTGTCAAATTCCACTAGCCTGTTTCCTTTTTCACCAGGGTTAGAAACACATTCTGATAATGTCGGCACATTTCTTTTGTAATAACAATCCCTGTAACCTTGTGCCTTCCTCTGGTACGATGATGGGAAGGGACAAATTGGGACAAATTGTTAAGACCAACTACAGCAATGTTTCTATGACTGTGTTATTGTGAAGGAGACGGAAAGAGAAATGGCTGTGTCACTGTTTCACCCTGGGTGTCTACTCGTTGTCTCTCAGGTGCTCGTGTGAGGAGTTCGTCATTGAACCGGTTGCCTAGAAACGACAAAATCGACCTATACACTCAGCCCAATAAGGAAGGCATGAAAAAGCTTCAGGTGGAACAGACAGGTGCATATTAAGGCCCACGTTCAACACAACCCTCCTTCTCATGCTCCACACTCCCTCTAATAGGTCTGATCAACCATTGCCTGGTGTGGCTCTGAGGCTCCTTACAACCCACTGGGCAAAGATGTCAATTCAGCGTCTGTTCCACGTTGGTTCAACGTGGAAACAACGTTGATTCAACCCGTGTGTGCCCACTGGGAAGGCCCTCTTTCAGCACAGTAAACGAGTGCCTATAGAGATTTTCAGATAATTGATCTAGAGTCTTTGAAAGTGTTCAGTTTTTTGCATGTTTCTTAGAGCTAAATGAATGTTTTGTTAGGACTGATTAGTTGACAGATGCAGGCTAACACCATGCACTACTGTGGTGCTGGACATCATGTAGCCCTCTGTCAAGATGGAGCCAGTAATCAGATTATGACCAGTACAATGTCTTTGTTCCTTCTACTCACATGGACCATACAGTGCCATTTATCCACACAGTCCACTAACATGGACTTTTAAGGCCAATTGATTTGTACTGTAATGAGAACAAAATAATACTACATTAAATTAATGTGGTTCTTGAGGACCTTTATGAGAACATGCCCCACCCCCTCTGTCCCTGATAGGCTGTAACCCCACTCTCCTGTCTGTAGGACCCTCCCTGAAGAAGAGAAGCTCCTCCCTGACACGAGCTGGGGGGGGCAAAACACAAACCCCCTCCAAGCTTGATAAGGGGACGACGGACGACCAAGGTGGCTAGCATGAACCAAGTTTATATTTTATATTCTCGTCCTTGTCTGCATCGCTCGGGCCTCCTCTTTTTGTAATAACAAGCACGCATCTCCTCCTCCGACATTTTGTCTTCTAACTCAGTTTGCTAATATTCAGCTCCTAGCGGTGATTTGTATGCACCAACTGGGGAGGTTTAGGCAGTTCAAGCTACTATTGTGGTGCAGTGATTGTGAAGTGCAGCAACCTAGTGCTTCTAAACGTCCAAACCAGCCTCCTCCCCTTTCCTCCAATCTTTGCCCCTCTCTCTACGCGCGTGCTCTTTTCCAGCCAACACCGTACACAGTTGTCTGCCCCTCGACAGCCTCTAACCAGCCGCCGAACTCCCGTGTCTCTGTATAACCCTGGTCTCTACCAGGTGCTCTCTCTGGGGCCTCATGTCACTAACTCACCCCACTCCTTTGTCTTTCTCTAACAGATCCCTCCTGTATTGTTGCTCGCCCGCTGTGTTTCGCTTCCAGATAATCTTGTCTTAACCTCTCTCTCTCTCTGTCTTTTTCCTCTGAGCTGCTACACACCAGAAATACCTCCTTTGTGCTCCTGACTAACACAATGTTTTGTTTGTTGGTCACAGTGGGTTTGTTGTTTTCCATACAGATGACGTATGTAAGCAGTGGATTTGACACTTGGGGTCTCGTGCCCCGCGGTGTGTGTCAGTGCCATCCCACTGTAGCTAGGGTCTAGAGAGCACTGACATGGCCACTGACTCTCCTTGTTGAAATGCTGTACTACTGCTACTACCTGTGTTGTATCTCTAACTGTATGCCTATGTGTTGTTAACCATATTCCACTCCATCCAACCATACTGTATATGTATTGAAGTAGTTGTTCAAAGTGACTGTATTTACAATATCTAATTTACAGGGCAAATTGTTTCTCAGTGACGTGATGTTTTGTGAGACTCCATGCACTGTTCAAATATCCTTCAGCCTTTCATTTTGAGTCAATAACATCATCTTTGAACGTCTCTTGCTGAGTTAGAAGAATCCCACAACGAGCCATCCATGTCTGTCCTTAAAAACTGGATCCCTTCATTAACTAGACAGGGACAACTCTCCCATCCCCAACCGTTCCTAACCACGTTCCCTGGCCGACCCTGTCCTCTAATCAGTCTGGAGCCCCACAACTGACAGTTTAAAGGGCTGGCTCCATGCTTTAAGAGGCTGGCCCACTCTGCCTCTAACCACATGAGTCTGTCTTAAACAGATGTCCACTCTCTGTCAGGGAGCCTGAAGGAGGCCTTGATGGAAGTCCCTTAATCCAAAGTGCCAAAAAGGAAACCGCGCTTATAGCCCATTACATTACATTTTAGTCATTTAGCAGACGCTCTTAGTGAGTGCATACAATGTTTTTTGTTTTTGTTTTTATACTGCCCCCCCCCCCCCCCCCCCCCCCCCCCCCCCCCCCCCCCCACCCCCATGGGAATCGAACCCACAACCCTGGCGTTGCAAACGCCATGCTCTACCAACTGAGCTACATCCCTACAGCCCATTACTTTTACCTTTCTGTTTTTGTTTTTCAACCTTTGTAACTGGGATACTGGGATTCCAATGGAACCAAAGGGTAACTGTATTCCTTCATTGCATGAGATCAAGAGCCCTTGGTTTTTACTGTCAGGCTCAAGGTCTCCTGCTAATGTGTGTAAGTGACCGGTACACCACTGTCTATTAAAATACAGTGGGCAGGGCCTAGAATTACTGTCTTGGTTTGGCAATTTCCATTTAAGACTTTAAATTCTTGTTATTTCCAAAACAAAACACTACCAAAGTCTGTACAGTAGAAATCTAAGAGTACTTGCGCACTCTTACGTTGAGCCCTTACCTCCATGTTCCCTGCCCTCCCTATCCACCCCATAGCACACCCCCTTTCCTGTCTGGACTGAGCTCACTAACACCATTTTTACCCCCCAGAACCCCCTCTGCACCAGGGACACACCTTGATTTGATCTCATTGTACCTCACTTGTAGTCCTCTTCAGTTGCTCGATAATCATGCTGGGTCTGTCTCAATACTTTTTCATGGCTTCCTTTCCTGGTCTCCTTCTCCTCATGACCACTGGGTGGAATGGATGTTAGGACTAGGTTTCCACAAGGAAGCCATTCAAGACTATTGGGACACAGCCTTGGTTTCTTATGTTTATTCTCTCCTGTTACTAGTTGAAATCACATGGTGACCCCCCCCCAAACCCCATTCCACCTCTTTCTTTGTGTTGACCCCCCAACCCCCTCGCCTCATTCTTTTTCTTGTTTTGGCTCCTTCATTTTTGGGGGGTTCCGTGTAGCTCGCAAGCCCCTGGCGAGCCCCGTGGACAGAGGGTTCCTCAGTCGCCTGCTCACCCCCACCCAGGCCTCACTAGCTAGGAGCAAGAGCACCGCTGCCCTGTCGGCCGAAGGAGGCGACGACCCAGGTAACCCCCACAGAGGAGACCCCCTGTAGAGAGTGAGGACTCAGCAACGCACAGTGATCTCCCCCCCACCCCCTGCTTCTGGCCTCCATTATATCACCAGCTGCAGTATACGATAATACCCCGAAATCTACACCCCTGTCCCCATTACATCACTAGCTAATAGCTATAAAACTATAAAATTATGTCACTAGATGTATAGAAATATATCTCTAGCCCAGGCCGCTGCTGCTGGCTAGGCAAATAGTTTGAAGCAAACTGTGGTCCCTTTCTTGTTGTCTGGTGGTGGTTGTTGTACAGTGGTGGCTGAAGGCTACAGTGCTGCAATTCAATGTTGAGGGGCCATGCTTGCTTAGTGGTACAAAACCTGCTTTACTGTAAAAGTACACTCGTGATCACAAGATTGTGCATACATATGTATATTGGCGCACACCCACACACACGCAGGACCTGCTCACATGCACTCATAGCTCAGACACAATTGTGTGTGTGTGTGTGTGTGTGTAGAAAAAGTAGAGTCTTGGCTGGGAGCTGGTCTGGTGTGTCTGAGGAAGGAGCCCTGTGGAACAGGATCCATGCTGGGAGGCTTTGCACTAAGCTGCTTTCCTGTGGGCCCAGTGCTGGTTGCGTGAGAGAGAATGAGTGTTGTGGTGTTTGTGTACTGGTAATGATCCCAGGGAGCTGGGGACTTGCCTTGAGGAGCTTCTGCTCCAATCCCTGTGTTATAACTCTATTAGTACACCACCTGTGGAATACCTGTTACAGAATACTCAGTTCACCTGGTCGTAATCATTTGGCCTAAAGCTAGTTCAACCCACTGCCATTAGAACAGCCCAGGTCATTGACTTCCGTTGACATGCTACATCAGTGATTTGAACGCTATTTGTTAATATCTAATATGCTGAGAAAGTGTAGAAGCTAAGAGATGTCTTCCATACTACTTAGGGGTCATTTGATCCCTATCTAGAGGGTCTTCCTCCGCTTACCTAATGGACTTAACCCCCTGATCACATTACCTGAGCTGAACCCATTAACCCTATATGCTCCATGCTCTGAGATGGCTGGTTGAACATGGTTGGGTGGCCTGGCTGCCCTGCCATGTGCCACAGTGTCATAACAAGGTGTTGATGTGACAGCTGTGTCGTGCGTATCGACAACCCATTGAGACATGTTAGCTGGTATGGATTCCCTCCCCACTCATAAATATAGCCCCCAGAAACATGACGCATCAGCACCAGTGACAGTTTATGGACAGGGAGCGTTAATTTCAATAGCTAATCCTTTATCTCTCTACTGCTGCTCATTCAGTAACCAGTCAGGATGAATTACAGAGCATATCTGGGAGTTGGGACTGGCAGGGTGAGAGAGCAAGAGAGAGATCCCCGGGCTTCGGGATTACCACTGCTAATCCTCCAATCTGACACATCAAGCACCCAGCTACAGTAGTAAGGACCTGAGTCCCAAACCACAGACCAGCTTACACTGGCTCTCTATATGAAAGACTGTAACTCAGGTTTACTCATTAGCACCCTTTTAGAGAGGCTAGCTACTCCATGTGGGTTACAAATTGACTAGCCAAGTAAGCCAAATATACTGGAATACTCTATGGTGTAGCTGATGGTTGGCGTACAGAATTCTCCCTGAAGGACTTCTGTCATATTCTACTGTTTTGATTTGGATTTATTCAAGATGGAAGGAATAGTGGCACTGGTATAATAGGCTAAGCCCTAAAACACTGTCTTTAAAACACAGGAAATGCTGGAAAGCCTGAAATGATCCGATTTTTATTTTATTTTACTAATGAATACTAGCCATTAACGTCCTCCAGCATTTGGAGTGTTTCTAGACTAGAGTGTGTGTGCGCATAGTTGGCGTGTGCTGCATTGGTGTGGATTGGTGTGATGCTTTTGTGATGGTGGTGGGTTGTGTGTGTGCTGTGTTCAGAGTTTGCTGTGGCGGTGTGCTCAGTGCCGTGGTGTGTGGATGTGTTCAGCTTTGTGCAGCACCAGAGCTTTGGAACCAATCAGGGGATGTCAGTCTGTCCATGCCTCTCTCCGTCTCCCCCCTCCAGCCCTGCCACTGCCAGCCTAGCCCCGACGCTTCAACAACCAACCGTGTGCTACCAGTGCGTAATCTAACAATAGGCCATGTTTTGTGCTCTTATACCCCGAACCATCCTCTTCTTCTCTTTCCACTCTTTATTTTCTTTTCTCCATCTCTCTCTCTCTCTCTCTCTCTCTCTCCATGCCTCTGCTTTGCTCACCCAACTCGGCTGCTTGTACCCGTGCTCCCATTGGCTGGTTTCCCTGCGCTGCGATGACTGTGTCCTTTACCAGAGTGTCACCTGTGTCCTCGCTCAGCCTCGGCCAGCCCCCTGCACCCGGTGCAGCGAGGACCCCTGCGCAGCCGCAGTATCGACCGGCAGAAGAGCGCCACCCTGCCTACCTCCGCCTCGGCAGACCAAGTGGACCCCTCACTGGTGAGATCTCATGAATGTGGAAGATATAGAATTAGCATTAATAGAATGGATGTATGGAAGACATAGAATTATCATGAAAGAATGGC